CCCAATTGCAACTGGGGCCATAGTTCAAGGACGTCTACAGTAATTAACCCTATTCGGATATCTGTGACTGGTCCGTTTTATTTCATAATACTTTCCCTTTTTTCCCCTACGCTTTTTAGTCTTCTCCCTCCTTTTTTTTTTCGTTTTTTTTTTCTCCCTCTAATTTTTTTTTTCAAAAATACAACCAATAATTTAAATTAGGATTTTGAATTACTTTAAATTAATATAATTTATCAAGGAGGGATACGAATTTAGGTCCCTGACTTTTGGATGGCCCATAAATTAGTACTAGCCCCTTATTGGTTTTATTTTTTATTTTATTTTTAGAATTAAGAAAAGACTAGCCTCTCTGCATGCGCTTCCGCGCCTGTGAGAGGCTTTTTTTAAAATTAAAAAAAAAAATTATTTTAGAATTAAAAAAGATAATGAGTAGTTTTATTCCATAAAAATAGGATCCATTATCTGATTTTTCTTTTAATTTTAATTTTTTTTAAATATGAAAAAGTGTGAATTTACCATATTATCCTCATTTAATTAATAATTTCAATTCTTAATGTTTGCATTAACCAAGGGCATTTTCTGGTATTTTGAATGTTTCACCATTCTCTTCCTTTTGCTTTATATATATAGATAACATGGGTAGTTATGTTCCATAAAAGTAGGACATGTTATCTGATTTTGTTTTAAATTTTAATTTCTTTTAATAAAAAAAATGAATTTACCATATTATCCTCATTTAATTAATAATTCAATTCTTAATGTTTGAATTAACCAATGGCATTTTCTAGTATTTTGAATGTTTCACCATTCTCTGCCTTTTGCTTTATATATATAGATTAGGCCCTTCTACTTTGTATACGAGTAAGGTTAAACAAAAAAGGGAAAAAAAATTCTGCAAATCTTGCAGAACTTGGATTAGTTCAAAGGATGATACAATGCAAATCTACAAAGAAAAAATTATAGTTAAATCATGCAATTAAGAATACATATCTTTTGATCACACTTTAACTCCAACAAAATAAGAAGAATATGGCACCTAATAAAACTAATGATTTTTTAACGTTTAATCTCTGGTATTTTGAAGAACTAGCACTAATTTTTATTTTGAATTATTAAGTTTTGAACACCTAAGAAAAATTAGCATTAATATAGGCCCAAATACACATATATACATATTAGCCTCTTCGCACGCACTTCTGGGCTTGTGAGAGGCATTTTTTTTAAATTTTAAAATTTATTTTAGAATTAAAAAAGATAATGGGTAGTTGTGTTCCACAAAAAGAGGATCTATTATCTGATTTTTCTTTTAATTTTAAATATTTTAAATATGAAAAAAATGTGAATTTACCATATTATCCTCATTTAATTAATAATTTTAATTGAGGGCTGCTATTTCCACCCCCAATCCTATTTTCTCACCCACCTTATCTTCCCACCCACCATGTAAATTTGAAAAAACATAATCCTATTTTTACACCCACCATTATTCCTAAAATACCCTTTAATTATTCATTCAAGCAAATTCTTCTTACTTTCATTCAAAGCATGCTTCAAACCTTTAACCACTGTCAATCAAAACGAGTGGGATCCTCTGTAAAGTATTATTAAAAATTAAAAAATAAAGAAAATCGCTCTCAATGTTCATCGTCTCTCCACCGAACGAAAACAATAACGGAGAGAAATGCCAGAATTAGAAAGAAGATGAAGAGCAAATTGAGCAAATGGAACAGAAAGCATGTGCCCTTGGGTTCAGAAACTGAGGAGAAATAAGATGGGATTGGATTGGACCCAGTTGGAAATTTTGAAGCTTTATTGGAATTTTGATTTGGGTTTGGTCGGGATGAGGGAGAGAGGGAAGGGTTGGGGTTTGACAAGGATGAAGGAGAATAGGTGTTTTTTTAAATCTAAAGTCCAAAAGTCATTTTACAAATGGATAAATTTGTTTTTAAATTTTGAAGATAAGGTGGGTGGGGAAATAAGACAGGTAGGTGGAAATAGCAGCACTCTTTTAATTATTAATGTTTGTATTAACTAAGGGCATTTTCTGATATTTTGAATGTTTTTTAATCAATATTACCTTGGTCAATTCAATTGGCCTAATTCACGTTTGTCTTTTATTTTTTTCTTTAAAGAAAATTGTGTTATTGTCATCCCGTTTCTATTTTCCCACCGAAATTGCCACACCCTATTGTTCCTATATTGCCCATGCTCCCTTTCTCCAAACCTGAATTATTCTAACCCCAAAAACCATGCATTGTACACCTTCACCTCTTGGTGGATTTTTTATGTGGAAAGTAGAGAAAATTTCCTCAATATCTTTTATTTTTCAAGGAAATGTTATTGCCTTATTGAGATTTCTTTTCTTTTCCTAAGAATCCTAACCAAGCTTTAATACAAATAGGATTTAATTATTCAAATTTATTTTGAAGTGTGAAAAGTAAGACGTCGTTATAAGTTGTAACTCTAACCACCAGTGTTTAGGAATGACTTTAAGTTCTAAAACAAGTGGTCATGGAATCCATTTTTAATTACTTTTGGGTCTACTCCTTCTAGAAAAATAAAAATAAAAATTGTTTGTAATCCCCTTCGGGGCGAAAGGAAGCTTTTTAGTAATTTGTCAAAAGAGAAATCTTTGGGGGTCAAAAGGATGAAAGTTAGACTTTCTTTCATTTGGAACTTTTTTGGGTCCAGAATAGCGTATCCAGTCAGTATGAGATGTCAAAAACCAATTTCAATTCAACCCGTTGACCACTTTCAAATTGTGAGAAGTTAAGATTTTATTTTTATTTTCCCATTTTAACATTTAATGTGATAATAATAAATATTGCATGTATAGAGTTGCCAGCTGCTCTCCTTTACTCTCCTAACTAATTTAGGGTAACAAAGTTTGTATTTAAAAGAGTCCAAAACTTTGAATCAAATCCAAACTCAACTATCCCAAATCTCTCTATAAAATCAACATATTTTGGTTCATTGTAATCTCTTTATTCCATCTTCTTCACACCAAGAAATTAATTAAAACACCATAATCGATCATCATGGAGCAAAAAACCAACCTCCTCCTTATACTCTTGTTCTCTTTCGCCTCCTTGCTAACTCAACCAATTCCAACCACCGCGTCTCAACCTATCTCCGCTGTTTTCGCCTTTGGCGATTCGACGGTGGATTCAGGCAACAACAACCGCCTCCCCTTCACGCTTTTCAAAAGTGACCACAAACCCTACGGCAAAGACTTGCCAAATCACGTCCCTTCCGGAAGGTTCTCAAATGGAAAGCTCGCAACAGACTTCATGGTCTCCAAACTCGGCCTCAAGGACCTCCTGCCCGCTTACTATGACCCGAAACTGACCGACCGCGACTTGCTAACGGGTGTCAGTTTCGCGTCCGGAGGTGGCGGGCTGGATGATCTGACCTTGGCTGTGTCCAAGGCCACGAGTATGTCGAAGCAGTTGGAGGCCTTTGATGAAGCGTTGGGCAGGATGAGGAAAACTGTTGGGGAACAGAATTGTAGCGAGATTGTGAAAAACGCTGTGTTTGTGATCAGTGCTGGTACAAACGACATGGTGTTTAACATGTACGAGTTGCCTGTGACTGTTAGGAAAATTGGGTTTTCACCTTCAGGGTACCAGGATTTTCTGCTCCGGGCACTTGGATCTTTCGTTCAGGTAATTAAATATTAATTATTTGCGTGCCATTGGCGATATTAATTCCTGTAATTGAAGCCAAGCATATAAATTCTGGCCATCACGTCAAAACCAAAATATGCCGTAACCTAATCCTGGTTTATTAGTTTACCTTAATTCATTGTAAAAATTACAATCAACCTGAATCAAATCAACCTGATTTTCTAGTAACGTTACGCGGACATATCATATAGGCACAGAAATAGAATTATTATATATCTCATATATATATATATACGGTGTGGGTTTTTTTTCGGGGTGACAGAACCTATACAAGAGGGGAGCAAGGAGGTTCCAGGTGGCGAGTCTTCCACCAATCGGATGCCTGCCAATGCAGCTGACAATAGGCAGCATCTTCAATGGGCTTCGCCGTGTGTGCGTGGACCAGCAAAACAAGGACTCTCAGGCCTACAACACCAAGCTCCAAGACCTCATCTCAAGGTTGCAAGCCTCACTTTCTGGTTCCAGGCTCGCCTATTTTGACACCTACAATCCCATTATGGACATGTTCTCCAACCCAGACAAATATGGTACGTACGTATAGCTAGGTTTCCAATTCTATCATCTCTCTCTCTCATTTACTCGTAAAATCGTCTGATACCGGATATCAATTTACAGTATCAGCTAATCAATCTCAGATTTGTATACCTTGAACTGTTTTTTTGGGTTTCACTGCTTATTTGTTTTAAATGTAGGGTTTTCACAAACACATGAAGGATGCTGTGGAACAGGGCTGGTAGAGTTGGGCCCTTTGTGCGGCGAGCTTTCATTGACATGTCCAGACGCTTCTAAATTTCTGTTCTGGGATTCGATGCATCCTTCCCAAGCAGCATACTCCGTTCTTGCTGACATGGCTCAAAAGACGGTGTTACCCTATCTTATTGCTTAAATATTAGATCATTTTTTGTTTTTTGTTTTGGTCAATTAGTCTGAAAAATTCATCAGTAGGAAACATATAAATATGTACTTTTCTTTCTTTTAAATATAGTTTTTGGTTAGCGGCTTTTTGAAGCTTATCGGTGTCAAGTTCATCAGTTGAACCATTTGTGTATATGCTAAAATGAATCATTCATGCCTTTGCACTAACATATAAAAGTTGATATATAATCATGGCTAAATGAGAGATATATAAATTCATGCAATTCAAAATGAGAGATCTCATAAGGAAAACGTTACTGTTTGCAGAACATTTCAAAGATAACATATAAAAGTAGATCATTTGAGATTTCCAATAAATATGGTTTTTTATTGCCCTAAATCACTAATCAAACAAAAGATTTACCAGGAAATAGGAGCCTAAAAACTCTCAAAACAATGTACATGGCCACCAATTGTGCATATATTTTGGTAATACCAACGAAGAAAAAAATCTTCGTCTCTATCGTTATTCACCATTTGAATATCTTTTTGCTAATAATAATATTGCTGGCTATATATCATGGATCGATACAAGACAATACATACAACAAAAGATCGAACAAATGAACAAGTATAGTGGTGATCTTTACCTTTTTATGGCGGTAGAATATGACAACGGTCAAGTTCATTCATTAATTTGGTCGAACAATATCTCGGCAAGTACCTCAAGATCTCACTTAGAATATCATTGTCTCATTCATAAAGTGAGGTCCAGAGTACTTGGCATCCTCCCATGCTCCCCCCTGCCATGACCACCACCTTCTAGTTTCTTCATGCTAAGCTTCGAGGATGAAGATGAAGACAAGGAAAGAGATAAACTACAACCCTCCAAACCCTTTCCAAATCCATGATCATCTTTTGGTGGAACTTTCAGTGATAAATTCAGATCTAAGTCACAAGTAGTATGATCTGAATCCGGAGCCTTCCTTTTCAGCATGTTTTGCCCGTCTCGAATTGCTCTCCAACTATGATCTTGGCATGGCATGTGGATCGTGGATTGGAACGACTCGTCCCGGATTTGATGCCTTCTCCAAGTGGTTTGAACATAACTGGGAGATGGATTATTTGTATGTAAGTGATTGTTTGCTGAAGTGGGATTGTTGTTGTTGTTGTTGTTTCCAAATATCCTGTCAGCAACTGAACCATAAAGTCCAATGTTTCTGGTATTATGATCAAGTAGGGCAGTCCTGTGTGTATTGTAAGGGCTATAAATCTGGTGTTGGCGACCTCGCCAAGAGGCATCAGTGGCAGTGCCATATCTTAAGCGAAACAAATTAATTAGTACTGGTTATTAGCTCAAATTAAGATTCAATTAAAAAGAAAAGACTTGATAAATTGCTCAAAAGGGAGTAAATTAATAGAGCTAATTTATATATACCTTAATCCGGAAGAAGGCCATTGGTTGAAACTTTGTAACATGGAGAGTTGAGTGAGGTTGTAAATATGGTTGTCTCCGCCTTCCATGAAAAAGCCTTGCTGCGACATAACTGTCATAGAAGGAAGTAAGATCTCACAAAATTGCAAATATGTAACCCTAACTTTTTCTACTAATTGTTGCAGGTAGCTCTCTGTGTGTATAAATTAAGTTTACCTTGATCGGGGTCTTCCATCTTCTTGCTCCTATACATCTAATCAGAGCCAGAAAAAAGAACATAAATCAGATATTTGAACCTGAATTTATATATTTTCGATCACAGTATTGAATTTTATATAGTACAAGTAGGAAAAATATATGTATAGATCATGAATCTGGATCAAATTCATTACTTGAAGATGGCTCTTGACATGAGCTATGCTAAGACCCTTGACATTCATCAATTGAAGCACCAACTTAGGTGTTGCTCCTGCACCATTAAATCACAATTAATACTTTTAGGAAACTGCTGGGCAGAGGCAAATTAAAATCTTAAATCATCACAAACTTGTGATTTATATATGTACTGGACTTACTTTCTTGTCCACCTAATCTCTCAACTGCATGAACAAAGCAAAGATGGAGATCAGGTGTCCACCGAAGCCTCGATGTCTTGGAACGAACATACTGCCGCACAGATCCAGAAACTCCCTTCTTCTCATTCCCTTCAATGGTGCTGTTGCTGGAACTGACACCATTGTTCCTCAGCTGCAGGCCATCTTTGTCCACCTCCTCCTCTTCACCTTCATCTCCCTCATCCTCTTCATCTTCAAATTCCTTCTTGCTGATAGATGGGCTTGTTTCAGAAACTTCTTCAGTGGAGCTTTTACTCTTCATCTCTTTATGTCTTGGGATTGATGGGCAACAAGAAATAATGATAAGATCCTGATGAGATCATCATCTTCCTGTTTATGAAATTATATGCTCTGATGTCCAGTAGAGTAGATGCTTGAGGAGATCCATTATTTACATACAAGCTAGGCTTGAGCTATAGCACTTGCAAAAATGGAGAAATTGGAAAACAATGGAATTTCTCTCCTAGCTATGACGCATGTGATTTAAGTATCTAAACCATATCTCTTTCTCTCTCCTCTCTCCTCTACATACATTATACAATACATGTATATATGATGCAAATTTTGTCCATGCCTTCATGTATGTATATATACATATACATGTACATGATATTAATGAACCAAATTACTATATAGGGGACCAATTACATACTTAAATGGTATAATAATAATCCTTATAGAACCTAATTAATGTTCATATAAGTTAAACAAATCTTTCTTGTCCGCACTTGTGTATGTCTGAGACCAATAAGTTTTTGTGGTAAATGGTAATTTTTTATATATTTGTTATCATAATATTTTTTGTTAGGAAATTGTCATGTTGCTCCTGTAATGAACTAGGGCTCGTTACCACATGGAGACTGGGGTAAGTCAACTTTGTGAAGAAACAGCTAGTGTTTTGCACGAGCCTCTGTGCTGTGAAACAAGAATCCTGTGGGTTTGTACGTGGCTTTATATAAAAAGAGGTTAGCTTGTCAGCTCGTGACCTGTGACTCATTTACATGCATTATCACACACATATATATATATATATCAGACCAAAAAATATATAATGTTTATTTGTAATTTGGTTGCAGGGTTGGCAATTAGGTTTTGAGTTCATTAATCCAAAACCTGATTGGCCTTCCTCTCTGCCCTCCAGTCACTAGCAAGCAAATGTAAATATTAGAAAAATGCCACTGCCATTTTACCTAGAATAATCATGGATACATATATTTTGTCCTTACTGGAGGAAGTGGTTCCAAGAGTCAACTATATCATCTGGGAAAGCTCTAGAATTTGGATCAGTTCACTTTTGGTATTCGAAGAACTAAATCAGTGTTGGGACCTTTATTAAATGAAGATTAACCCATAATCATGATACTAATTCCAGTTTTTCATTTCTAATATCTTTTGAGATAGGGTTTCCACACCGTGGCTGAAATCATTATAAGGAGAAAAACTTCTTTACTCCCAGTTTATTGTCTTTTTATCGAAAAATAAGAAGCATGAGACAATAAAACGAATGTAAGGAAGTATTTCTCCATTATAAGGCCCGTTTGGATGAGAAACAATGGCCTTATTAAATGTTTGAGCTGAAAACCAAATATTCTGATTCTGGCCTCGTGTATGTGTAGCCCTCTCATTAATATATATGCATTTATAGGTTACAACAAATATAATATGAAATATACGTAACCACTAAAGACTAAAGTTGTTCACCCCATCACAAGCATCCTGTCCTGAGAGAAATCACAGCCGTCAAACAAATGCTAGCTCTGTATCTTCCAAGAAACTTCATCACCAGGAAAAAGTATAAGAATTACAATAAACTCGCGACCCAAGAAGCCCAAGCCGATGGAATAATATTAATATGGTGTGTTTTTACTTTGCTGAATTGGTCCAATACTTAACTTTATCTCATAATAATATAAAAGACAGACAAAAGAGAAAGAAATATTATACGATTGGCACAAGTTCAGACACAAAATGTGAACAAAAACATATCGAAAAGAACATTATTATTATTTTTCTACACATGACATTTACCATGGCGGGCTCTGGTTTTTGGCTGTGAAAGCTATTAAAATACAGAGAGAGAGAGAGAGAGAGAGAGAGAGAGGTTTGTCTAAAAAGATTCGGCAGCGTCCAACTGTGAATTAAGTCAACTCCCAACAGTACCTCGGTTTTATTCTTTGGGTTTTTTTTATAACTTTGTTAATGTAATTGTTGATTTCTTTTTTTCTTGCATGAGAACTCGTGATCCTATTTATGCGGATCTATTTGGTTGGAGATGAGGATGTCTGTCTTTTTCTCATCTACCTAAATTTAATAATAAAAATCATCCATTCATCATCATGTATAATTATTTGCATGGCAATATACCATGCCATGCCATGCATGTTGCCATAAAAAACGTCCGTCAATATGATAATAATAGTTATTATTATATTCTGTTGACCATAATTCTACTCTCGGTCGATGGCTCTTTCAAATTTGAAAAAGAAAAAGAGAAAAAAAGAAATTCAATGAAGACTCGCAAGAATATATAGAATTCGCAACTGCCCTCAATTTTCATATTTTATACATATTAGTATATTCCTAATTATACCCCATACTTCCTTCCCCTCATATATATATCAAATCATCATGACATGCAATAACTGAGCTGTATTATATATGTGTCAAAACTCACAATGGACCTAAACCTCTTTGTAAGGGGTTTGTAACTCAAATGGTTATGAGTCGTTACTCCTGCACATGAAGTTATGTATTCCAATTCTCCTATTCCCAATATTGCTTGTGTAAAAAAATAATATATATATATATATATATATTCTCTTATCCGAATGTCCGCACGTTATTATTGTGCGAATGCTATTGTAAAGGAGAAAAGCATGGAGAGATAGTAAAAAATACATAGTGTCCACACAAGAATAATAATAAGAATATATATTAATTTTTGCGATTCTTTAATTAAATGGGCATGTTGAGTATATTATGTAACAAGTGGTGTCACACAATCCTAATTATACTATAATGACGTATGCATGCATTAAAAGGAATAACATTGAACCTAATAATAGTTTAATGTCAAGGTATATTAGTCTCCTTTTCATTTGAGGCAATTTGTGAGGCCCGCAAAGGCGATGTGTTACTCACCGTAACACCTTATGTATCATTTTATATATATATAAAATGTGGGGTAGCATTTGTAGTAAGTATGCGATGATGAAGTAAATAAATAAACAGTTACTACAAGCAAGAATATATATATATATATATAGTTATTCCTAATCAACTTGAATTTCTCATAATTAAAACCGGAAACCAATCTAAACTTTCCTTTTCTTTTCTTCTGATAAATCTTTCTACACTATAATTACTCCGTTTGTCATAATATATCAAGATAATTATTTACTTGATTAGGAAAATATTTTCTTTTATTATTTATCTTCCAAAATACATTAGGGTTTTGACCCTATAAAACTAAAACTATATGCAAACAGATAGTGAGTTTAAGAAATTTGAAGTCAAGCAGATCAACATGGGTGATGGTGGTGCTAGTGTTAGAGATATAATATTAAGCGGTTGTGGTTCTGATTTTGATCCAGAATGGGCAAGCCTTCCTCTGCTCGTTGTGTTTTTGGTGCTTGATAAGTTGTTGGAACCCATCGACCATGTGCGATTTGCTGCCGTTTGCAAAGAATGGTCTTGTCTTGCGAAAGACTACAATCGTTCAACTCAGCGCTGGTCTCCCATGCTCATGATCCCAACCCAATTGGCAAAGTCTAATCAAACACTAGTCTATAGTGATTGTGAAGGAAAAATCTACAAGAATATTCAGGGTATTGAACTCCCAGAACCAATGCCTAAAACCGAAATTACACATAAAAAAAAAAATTACATGTCATCCTGGTGGACACAATTGAGACCATGAAAAGGAAGGAAACCCAACCAAACATGATTCCATATTTGATTCACTGTGATTAGCATTTCATCATAAGAACCTTGCTTATCCTTTAGTTCCTTAATTTTCGCTTCAAGATCTTGCAAATCATGCTTCTATTTGTCTATTTGCGGAAGAAGTCTCTGGTTCTGGTACTGGAGAACTGCTGCATCGACCTGGGCACGTATAGTACGTACACAAAATACAGATTACTTCCTATCAATCAAACAAACTCAAAGCTTTTGTCTGGTGATGATTGGATCCGGCCAATTATACTCCATAAAATTGATTTTGGGGCATAGACATTAAGAGGGAAAAAAAAAAACTAGAACGTAAGGAAGAACTCAAAAAAGAGAAGAGGACACTAAAGCAAGGAGCAAAAAAACAACTTTGGACGTTAACCATCCCGTTGGTTGGGTGTTAGGGTTTTTGTTTTAGGATGATGTGTCAATTTGTAAATCCATTAGATTAAATTTTAATGAGGTGTCGTATGGATAACAAAAGTATAGCAGATCATGGCAGAGAAAATCAGAGCAGATGGGGGGATTGCTATGCTATTAATAGGGAGTTTTAATTACAATTATGGCAGTTCATGAAATGCTTGGAATAAATTATAAATAAAATATGAAGTCTGATGGCAAGGATGTAAAAACATAGGAATACTACGACCTATTAGATCTTAAGTTTGAAATTGGGTTTTACACATAGATTTATAGAATGATGGGTATATGTCTAGGAAATAGAAATTGTAGGGACCTATATCAGCCAAGCCCTCAGTTTTATGACGCTATTTTTTACAAAGGCCTCGTCTATGCAGCTGATAACGTTCGTTGGTCGATTCACTCGTTCGACCTTAATTTGTTGGAGGAGGAATTTAACTACTTACGCATAAGTTTTCCAGCACAACCTTATTATAATATGTTCAAACACCATCCCTTTTGTCCACCATATGTTGTGAAATCAACCAAAGGGGACCTGTTACATGTTGTAAGATTTTGTGAATTGAAGAAAGAAGATGGCTCGTCCTCATCCTCGTCCTGTGGGGAGTACATCACCACGCACTTTATGGTTTTTAAGGTGCCACCATTCAACCATGAAGAATGCGAAGGGTATGAAATTGCGGAGGTCGAAAGCCTTGGAGATGAGGCTCTCTTCGTTGGGGACAATTACTCTGTGTCAGTTTTGGCTTCCAAGTTTGGTGGGTGTCAACCAAACTGCATATACTTTACAGATGATTCCATCAATTTTCGACAAAATGCGTCCATAGCATGTGACATGGGCATCTTCAACTTAGAGGATGGAACCATTGCCCAACATTGCCCTCCAAGTTGTTGGGAAAAGGGCATGCCAACACCATTTTGGATTACGCCACCCTTTAGTGGACTCTACTAAATTAGCTCTAGTTCATCTTAATAATTAATCTCAGTAGCCAAGCCATGTATACTTTGACTTGTTTATTAATAATTTTTTGTTGAACCCATTACTGGTTTTTGAGCAGCCTGCAATTATATTTCTTA